ACAAAGGCTTGGGAAGTGGACACTCTAAGGGGGCACATGAACAATGTATCCTGTGTTCTATTCCATTCAAGGCAGGATATTATTGTGTCCAATTCAGAGGATAGAAGTATCCGAGTCTGGGATGCAACAAAACGAACTGGTCTTCAGACATTTCGTAGGGAGCATGATAGGTTCTGGATTCTTTCAGCACATCCTGAAATGAACCTCTTGGCTGCTGGGCATGATAGTGGCATGATTGTCTTTAAATTGGAGAGGGAGCGTCCTGCTTTTTCTGTTAGCGGTGATTCAATGTACTATGTTAAAGATCGTTTTCTCCGCTTCTATGAGTTCTCCACCCAGAGAGACAGTCAGGTTATCCCAATTCGAAGGCCTGGTTCTTCCAACTTGAATCAAGGGGCAAAAACACTATCTTACAGCCCTACCGAAAATGCTGTTTTGATAGGTTCAGATACGGAAGGGGGTTCTTATGAACTATACATTATACCCAAAGATAGCTTTGGTCGGGGTGATACTATGCAGGAGGCAAAAAGAGGAATCGGAGGCCCAGCTGTGTTCGTGGCTCGCAATAGGTTTGCAGTGCTTGAAAAGAGCACCAACCAAGTTATAGTTAAAAATCTGAAAAATGAGATTGTCAAGAAGAGTGCCCTACCTATTGTTGCTGATGCAATATTTTATGCTGGAACTGGAAACTTGCTCTGCAGGGCAGAGGACAGAGTCATTATTTTTGACCTGCAGCAGAGAATTATTGTTGGAGAGCTTCAAACTCCTTTTGTAAGGTATATTGTTTGGTCAAATGACATGGAGAGCGTTGCTTTACTTAGCAAACATTCAATTGTGATAGCCAATAAGAAGCTTGTGCATCAGTGCACTCTCCATGAGACAATTCGTGTAAAGAGTGGAGCTTGGGATGACAATGGCGTCTTCATATATACAACCTTGAACCACATCAAATACTGCCTTCCTAATGGGGATAGTGGAATCATCAGGACCCTTGACATTCCAGTGTACATAACAAAAGTGTATGGAAACACCATACATTGCTTGGATCGAGATGGGAAGAACTGTGCCATTGTTGTTGATGCAACAGAATATGTTTTCAAGTTATCCTTACTGAAGAAAAGGTATGACCAGGTTATGAGCATGATTAGGAGTTCTGAGCTCTGTGGCCAGGCCATGATTGCATATCTACAGCAGAAAGGTTTCCCTGAAGTTGCTCTTCATTTTGTGAAGGATGAGAGGACTCGCTTCAACTTGGCACTAGGGAGTGGGAACATCCAGATTGCTGTTGCTTCTGCCAAGGAAATTGATGAGAAAGATCACTGGTATCGATTGGGAGTGGAGGCCCTACGTCAGGGTAATGCAGGCATTGTAGAATATGCGTATCAGAGGACAAAGAATTTTGAGAGGCTATCATTCCTATATCTTGTGACTGGAAACTTGGATAAATTGTCTAAAATGCTGAAAATTGCTGAAGTCAAGAATGATGTGATGGGTCAGTTCCACAATGCTTTGTATTTGGGTGATATCAGAGAACGTGTTAAGATCTTGGAGAATGCAGGTCATTTACCTCTTGCTTATAGCACAGCTGTAATCCATGGGCTCCATGATATTGCTGAACGTTTGGCAGCTGAACTGGGAGATAATGTTCCTGTTTTACCCAAGGGGAAATCTCCCTCTCTTTTGATACCTCCTACGCCAATCATCTGCGGTGGAGATTGGCCCTTGTTGAGGGTCATGAGAGGAATATTTGAGGGTGGTCTTGATAATGTGGGCAAGAATGTTGAGGAAGAGTATGAAGAGGCTACAGATGCTGATTGGGGAGAGGATTTGGATATTGTTGATGTGGACAAGATTCCAAATGGAGACATCAGTGCAGTGCTGGATGATGAGGAAGCACACGAGGAAAATGAGGAGGAAGGATGGGATCTTGAAGATCTTGAACTTCCACCTGAGATTGATACTCCAAAAACTGCCAGCAATGCCCGTTCTTCTGTGTTTGTTGCCCCAACTCCAGGTATGCCTGTAAGTCAAATCTGGTCCCAGAAATCATCTCTGGCTGCCGAACATGCTGCAGCTGGGAATTTCGATATTGCAATGCGTTTGTTGAGCAGGCAGCTGGGTATAAAGAACTTTGATCCCTTAAGACAATTATTTCTCGATTTACACATGGGCAGTCATACGTATCTACGTGCCTTCTCGACAGCTCCTGTGCTTACCGTGGCCATTGAGAGGGGATGGAGTGAATCAGCTACTCCTAATGTTAGGGGTCCTCCTGCTCTTGTATTTAAATTCTCTGAGCTAGAAGAGAAGCTTAAGGTGGGTTACAAGGCCACAACCCAAGGGAAATTTGCTGATGCTTTACGTATTTTCCTTGGTATTCTGCATACTATTCCTCTGATTGTAGTTGATTCAAGGAGAGAGGTTGATGAAGTAAAAGAATTAATAATCATTGTAAAGGAGTATGTTCTGGGTTTGAAGATGGAGATTAAGAGGAAGGAACTTAAAGGCGATCCGGTTCGCCAACAGGAGCTAGCAGCTTACTTCACCCACTGCAACCTTCAGATCCCTCACTTGAGGCTAGCATTACTAAATGCCATGAGTGTTTGCTATAAGGCTGGTAATCTCAACACGGCAGCTAACTTTGCCAGGCGACTTTTGGAGACCAATCCCAGCGTTGAAAACCATGCAAAGACTGCAAGACAAATCCTGCAAGCTGCCGAAAAGAACATGACTGATGCAACCCAGCTAAACTATGATTTCAGAAACCCATTTGTGGTTTGTGGGGGAACATACGTGCCTATTTACCGTGGACAGAAGGATGTGTCATGCCCGTACTGCAGCTCTCGGTTTGTTCCTGACCATGAAGGGAAGATCTGTTCTGTTTGTGATCTTGCAGTGGTTGGATCAGATGCATCTGGTTTGCTCTGCTCTCCTACCCAGATAAGATGATCTCCAGTTTCAACATTCACCTACGACAACGGTTATGTTAGTTTTCTTGTCTCCTTGAGCAGGGTTTATATTTTAAAGAACGCAATTTGATTAGGTTGTGCTTCTCTTGTATTTCTATTTCAAATTTTATTGCAAGGTTCGTGATCATGATTTTCGCTGTAATGAACAGGTTGAGCATTTTGGTCTAGGTGATTCTTGTGACTTCCGAGAATAAACAAATTAGATTGAGTTGTCAAAATTACTTGCTTTTCCTGAGATTTGTAGCTTTGAAATTCCATATATTGTAGACACCATTTTCGTGTTAGAACTCGTTTGTGAATTCCACCGGAGATATGTCAATCTGCCGGGGATTTTGAATATGTTAGTGCTTGAAATGTATTTCATTTCTTGTGTGCCTGAGTAGCGTTCTGTTAATTGTATTCGAAGATGTACACTATTGAGAAACGATGGATTATCGGCCATCACCCTGGCGCATTAACATTTCGATTTGCATGCCTTCGTACACACTAGTTGCACCAATGGTTATGCTAGTACTGGAACAACTATCACCTCTAGCATAAGCCATTGAAGGCGGCCCGAGCAAGTATTCAGTGTCCTCTGGACTGAAATCAGCAGTTCTCCGTGGATGCTTCGCCAGAGTCTGTATCCTTCTAGCTCCATTGCTACCTTTTTCATGCTAGGCCTTTCCTCCCTTTTCACCCTCAAGCATCTACTTGCAAGATTAGCCACTCTTTTCAGTGTCTCAAGATTTCTGTCGGTGACTATGTCGTCATCGAGAATTTGAGTCAAGCGACCCTGTTCCACGGAACAAACGAAGAAGTTTGCCGGGTTTCTCTCTTCTTCAGGCCTAGTAAATGACAGTGCCACTTTTCTTGTTAGCAGCTCCACAAGAACAACTCCGAAACTGTAGACGTCACTCTTTTCTGTCAGCTGGTTTGAATGGAAGTATTCAGGGTCCAAGTACCCTAGCGTCCCTTGCACTAGAGTTGTGATTTGAGCTTGATCTAGAGGAATCAATCGCGAAGCTCCGAAGTCCGACACTTTTTGCTGTGTAATTTTCGTCTAATAATATATTTGTTGTTTTCACATCTCGGTGTATGATTGGCATGGAAGTGGAGGAGTGCAAGTACGCTAGTGCTCCGGCAGTTTCAGCTGCGATCTTCAGTCGTAACTCCCACGAAAGCGACGATTCTTTGCTCTTTACGTTATGAAGATGATAAAAAAGAGTTCCCCTGGTGATGAACTCGTAAACTAGTAAAGGCACTTGTGTCTCCAAACAGCAACCCAGTAGCTTCACCACATTTCTGTGGTTGACTTGAGAAAGAACAATAACTTCGTTTATAAACTGCTCACTTTGGATTGAAGCTCCGATTTTCGACTTTTTTATGGCAACCACTTCATTATCTGGTAGTATTCCTTTGTAAACTGTACCGTAGCCTCCTTCGCCGAGGACTCTACTGTCATCGTAGTAGCCTGTAGCCTTGTCAAGTTCTTCTGCTGTAAAGATTTTTGTTGTCTCCACCAATCCTCCTTGGCGACTCGCGGGTCGTTGTTGTAACAACATGCCACCATTCTCTTTGAAATACTTTTCTCTGAGTTTGATGTAGTTGTTTTTCTTCATTCCCCAGTAGGTCCATGAACCTCCCACCAGGAAAATCAAGGAGGCTACTGTCACAGCTGCAATTCACCACCAAATTAGACTTCAATTTATTACGATCTACATGATAATATAGCAATAGCATGCATTTAATCCGAATTTTTTTGTGCAGGACATCCGTTTATAGATTAAAGAATCAATACACATCCATATTGTGTTGCCTACGGTAATGGAATCGACATTTTATTGCTGACATAGTGACACAGTTTGATCGACGCCCGTTACATAGTCTACCAATGCCAATGCAAATACTTACCCAATGAAATAATAAGCAAGCGAATGCTTTTGGAAAGATTGCTTCCATTGTCTTTGCTGCAACCAGTTCCAGTTCCAGTTTTCATTCCGTCGCCTTTGAACCCTTTTGGACAGACACAAGAATAATTTCCAGGTAAATTTATACACGCTCCTGCGCGCTGCAACGGTTTGAAATCTCACACTCGTCGATATCTGAAAAGAGTACAGATTACTCACTAACACATAATTAAGGCACATAGTTATAAATTAGGTGTATCTAAAAGATGATCAGTACCATGACAACCCTCTGGGGGGTACGGATTTCCTTCGTAACCTGGCAAGCACTGACAAAAGTAGCCGGACAGATTGACGGGGCTGACACAAGTGCTATTTCCCTTGCATGCATAGTCCTCCCTCTTTTGAGCTGCATCACATTCTTCATCCCCAATTGCCCAATTGAGAACCATCGGAAGCCGGCTTGTGTTTTCGAGCTCTTGGAAACTTCTATTAGAAAATGTGAACTGGCCTTCTTCCACAATGAAGGAATAGCTACATGGATTAAAGTCCCATATAAGCGTATGATTGGAGTAGCTACTCATCATCACGGTACGAACTTGAAGCCCACTTGGGATTGAAGTCTGGCAGCACCCAATGCCGGAGCAAGACTCACTAATGCTCCCTAAGCTCTCGCAGAAGGTCATGCAACCGGTTACGTACTTTTCGCTCCCACGCACTCCTTCAAAGATCGCGTAAGTGTCACAACCAACAGCAATGAACTTGTTTTTTCGTGCCGGAAATCGTGTAAGGAGGGAAGAGCTTTAGCCTTGGGGTGTTGCTTTTTTTGGTATCTGATAAACCCCCTCGACGTAACAATCGCTTGCTACAAACTGCATTATTTGTAGCTCGCCGTCAAGGGATATGTTGGAGACCGGGATTGCAGTTCCTGTCAAAAATGCTGTGGGGGGTTGTGAGGTTTCGTTGCAAACGATGAGGAATTCATCACTGAGCTGGCAGCCATCGGATATCCCAAAAGGGTATGGGATTGACAAATTCCCGCATTTGTTTGGGCAGCCAGGCAAAGCTTGCGCTGCTGCTGCCGCAGCTAAAAATACAAACAATCCCACGAAGGAGACCAGTTGGATAAGAATCCCAGGTACCATGGCAATCATGCCAACATCTCCCTTCTCGGGACTAATTTGTACGCTCTAATATTCCAGTCCGGGTTGAAGTTGTCTTAGCCGGCTCTAATTCTTATCTGCAGGTTTACATTCCAAGCAAGGTGATGACAGATGAGGACCATATAGTCCTCTGATTATAAACCAAAAGAATGATGACAAATAATTATGTGACAAAGTCGAGACAAATAATAGACCAATAATCAGTAGGTTTCATTTATATAAGAGAGTTAAAAATGAAGAAACCAAACAGACGGGGAAAAGGAGTTTTTATTTCTACTTGGAATCTTCGCCATTGGATTATTGACAGTTAAATTCTTGGGTACATCCAACTCTCCATTGCTATATCTGAGCTTTGTAAAATTTTTGGATAAAAAACTCTTTACAAACATCTCGGAACTTCATTTCATAGTGTAAAAACACTTAAAAAGACATTTGAAGAATATTTTTTTTGGTATCAAACTGTTATTGCGCAGCTTGCACTTGCCTATTATTCAAGATTCTAAAAAACGCTAGGCGCTAGTCGGGCGGCCAGCTAGCGCCTAGCGCCTAGGCGGTCAAGACGGATTTAAGTACATGTGTAAAATTTTAGAACTTTTTATATTAATTTTGTAACATTTAGTCATCCCATTTATTTTAATCATTTGTTGGGCCTTTGTTTTTCATTGAAAATGAACTGGGCCTTTGTTTTTCATTAAAAACAAATTCGGCCATGTTTTAAAGGAATGCAATTCCTAGCCAAAAAAACCCTAGCTCTAATTTTCTAAAGCACAACCGCCCCATTTCTCTACAGATACATCTACCTCTCTCTCTCTCTCTCTCTCTCTTCACCAAGCCAAGCCGTCCCTCTTCTTTCTTCTTTACCAAACCCTAACTCTAATTACCTAAGCAGCCGCCCCATTTCTCTGCAATTGCATATCCCTCCCTCCCTCCCTCCCCAGCCAAGCTGTCCCTATAGAAACCCGTCTTGTCCCTCTTCTTTCTTTCTCTGCAATTGTAGATCGAAACCCGTCCTGTCCCTCTTCTTTCTTTCTCTGCAATTACAGATCGAAACCCGTTGGGATGGTCGCCCAATCGTCCAACCTCATTACCACAGCGGAAGAACGACGTTATAATCGACTTACCATCAAAGCCGCCTAGCGGTCGCCGAGGCCGCCTAGCCCCCTCCAGCGTCGCCTAATACCCTTCCCGATTTCTTCGATGATTTTGGTTTAATCGCAGCGGCGAACCACCGCCCAGTGCCTAGGCGCCGCCTAGGCCGCGTTTTAGAACACTGCTATTATTTCACCGACTTCACCATCATATCTCTCTCTTCTCTCAACATTTCTTTCTTTCTTTTCTCTCTCTTCTCTTTCTCTTTCTCACATCACTCCTTCCTCCCCTCCTTTTTTTGGTAATGCATAAAAATTAACAATTAGTCATATTTTAAGACATAATAATATGAATTATTAATCGCGTAAAAAAATTGAACAAAATTATTATTAATAAATTTTTAATGTTTAATAAAAATTTATTAGTAGGAAATACTGTTTCTTAAAAATGAATTAATTTTAAAAAATAGTGATCACTATTTTCATAAACAGTGACACCTTTTTTTAAAACGGTGACACTATTCTAGAAAAAGACACTATTTCTGCAAAATAATTTACAAAACTGTACTTTAAAAAAAAATGAACAAACAATTAAGTGTTTTTCATGAATAAAATTTCATGAAAATAATTAAAAAAAATAAATAAATATATATATATATATTAATTATACGGAGCCGGTTGTTTGGTGCCCTCCCGGTTGTTTGGCACACCGTATAAAGAATCGGATATGACTAATTATACGGAGCCGGTTGTTTGGTGCCCTCCCGTATAAAATAGCCGCCAGATTAATTTAGTCAGTCTGCCTATTTAGTCGGGTATACACCTGCTTAATAAACCCTTCCAAAATGAATGGATTATTAGTCTGGCTCACTTCCCTCTCTCTCGCACTTCGTTTCCACGACATCTCCTCTCGCCGTCGTCCCTCTTTCTAACGTCGTTCTCCCCGTCGTCATTCTTGCTGGCACTGTCAACGCCTACGGCCTCCATGTCTTCCTCTGCTACAAGATCCCCGAGGTTTGGCCGTTGCGCGTCGAAGGCTCTGGGCTTCTTCTACAACTGGATCTTGCAAACAGTCGGGGAAGAAGAAGAAAGGAGAGAGAGGGAGGGAGTTTGGGGGGTGCGGCAAAGAGATCTGGGAAAGAAACTGTAAAGCTTGCAATCTGGGCTTTGCTTGAGGTTGTCGAGAGTGGAGGAAAACACATAGAAGTTGCTGTGATGACAAAGGATCATGGTCTGAAGCAACTTGAAGAAGCTGAAATTGATGCCATTGTTGTTGACATAGAAGCAGAGAAAGCATCTGCTATGGCCGCTAAGAATGGACCACCCAGGGAGACATGATAATACTTTATGGTTAAAACTAATCTCTACAGTTTATCTTAAAATAATAATACTTTAAATTCCTTCTATCCGGTATAGTACCAAACACAATATAAATAATACGGTCATTAGTCCGATACTGCACCAAATGCCCGACTAATTTAGTCAGTACTATCCGGTGACTATTTATCCTATCCGATAGAAATAGTCAGTACAGTCCGAGCTGCCAAACGAGGCCATAGAGAGAGAAGTTGGAAAGGGTGAAAGATGAGAGAGAATTGCAAGTGACCTTGTACCACAGTAATAGAGAGAAGCGTTGCTGTTGCTGTTGCACCACAAGGTGGGTTCAAACCCCATCAACTTCTTAATCTAACATTTATTTCCAATTGGGATCGACCAAAATTATTAATTTAACAAATATTAATTATCAATGTTCTACTGTATTTTACATTCCTTACCAACTCAGGATCTTCCAAACTCATTTTTTATTTAGCTTCAGAAAGTATCAAAGTCTAACGTCCAAACATTAAATGCCAATACACAACATTTAACCAGTCAAACAATTGGTATACATCCCCCACCAAATGCTCTGATACACACCCTAAATTCCATGCAAATCCTTTTGAAGAAGAAATTAGTTTTTGATGTTGGGCCACTTCTTACATGCAAGGCTTGTTTGAGATCCCTTTTTGTAAGGTTTTTTTTAATTTTTTTTAATTTTTTTAAGGATCTTCACCACCTAGTGCTCTGATACACATTACACACCCTAACTAAAAACTTTCAAAATGAATGAAGAAGAATGTTATCTTTTATACAGGCCATATTTACTTTTTACTAAATTTAAATTGTATCTAGGAAAATTCAAACTTGAGTGCATAGAGAGAGCACATCCGCTCTAGCCAATGTGACTACACCAACTAACAATGACATCTACTTGATGTTTGTAGGTTCTTCACTATGGCTAGAATGATAAACAATGTTGAGTTGATTATTTCAAGCAATCGTCCATCATCATATGAAATTAACATTTGGATCTGCATGCTGTCATACTCACTAGCTGTACCAGTACTAGGACCACAATCAGCCCTAACATCCACATGATACACATCTGAGTTAGCTGCCCCAAGTAAGTACTCAGTCTCCTCTGGAATAAATTCAGCTTTTCCCCATGCATGCATTTCTGTAATTCTCATTCCTTCCAGCTCCATGGCAACTTCTTTCATCTTAGGCCTGTCCTCCCCTTTTAACCTTACACATCTTCTCGCGAGATTGGCCACTGTTTTTAGTGTCTCGATGTTTCTCTCATTGACCATATCATCATCGAGAATTTGATTCAAGCGATCCTCCTCCTTTTAACAAACAAAAAAGCTTGCTAGGTTTCTCTCTTCCTCAGGCCCGTCAAAAGCGAGTGCCACTTTGCTTGTTAGTAGCTCCATCAGGACAACTCCAAAGCTATAGACATCACTCTTTTCTGTTAGTTGATTCGTGAGGAAGTATTCAGGGTCTAAGTATCCGAATGTTCCTTGCACTAAAGTTGCAAGTTGAGCTTGGTCTAGAGGAATCAATTGTGAAGCTCCAAAGTCTGACACTTTTGTAGTGTAATTTACATCTAATAGTATATTTGTCGCTTTCACATCTCGATGCATAATTTGCATGAGAGCGGAGGAGTGTAAGTATGCTAGTGCTCCAGCTGTTATCTTCAGTCATAATTCCAATGAAAATGATGATTCTTTGCTCTTTTTACCATGAATGTGCTGAAAGAGAGTGCCATGAGTGACAAACCCGTAAACTAGTAGAGGAACTTCTGACTCTAAACAATAACCCAATAACCTCACTGATAGGATTTTTACCGCTTGCACAAATAGGGATAAAAAACTTAAAAATACTTACAAGAGAACAAGGTAGTTGTAATATAAACGACTCAATTAAGCAAGGTCATTTTTCACAAGAATTGAATGAATAATTTGTATATTTAAAACCAACTCTTAATTAATTATTTAAAACAAAGTTTGGAAAATGTTAATTTTGAGATTTAAAATAATAAAAATGAATTTAAATTAAAAATAATTGAATAAATCAACTAGAAACCAATTTAAAGAGACATTAGGGTTCCGCCGTTACCTTAACAATCCTATTTAGTTATTCCAATTACTTATGAATTACCCATGCTTATTTTGAATATTACGTTCCCTGGAA